TTATTTAAGTAATGTACCCGTGCATTCTGTTCATACACACGCAATATAATTTTTATCATATTTAATAAATCTTTTTTGGCTAATTACTATACCCTATTATTATATGTATGTATGTATTATGGTATAACTATATTAATTACTTAATAATTTTATAATACACTTCACACGCTACTCTGCATTTACTGCTTACGTCCGTTGCGTCACAGCCACAGGTTCAGTTGAAAACCAGCGTCAGGTACTAGATGTCTGGCATTTATGCTGAACTGGACCTTTTTTGGTGCAGCTGTCAGGCACATGATTATTGTTGGTATATTTAACTTTTTAAATTTTGTATATACCTACCTACATCTGTTTATGTTCTTTTTTTAATTTTTCTATTTCACTCCTAATTTTTTGTTTGCATTGTATTTATTGTATTGTGTTTGTGCCTGGTGTTGTACCAAATAAATTATTTTTCTTTCTTTCTTTCTTCTTTCTTTTATACGACAAAATAAATAAAATAAATCTAACTGGCGAACTAATTACAATTTTTATTTTTTTACACTGTCTATTCCCTATTGTGCCCGGTGAAATGTGAAAAGAACTCAAAATATATGTAGATGAGACATTTTAACATAGCATAATATTTTATATCTTACTAGCAAACCTGGCGAACTTCGTTTCGCCACCTGAGGCCTTAGTACGAGTTTGTTTTACGTTTAAAGTATTCGTAACGAGTACGAGTTCGGCGCTCTGGTTGGTTGATTCATAGCTTCGTTTTATGTAATATTTCGTTTGGTTATGAAAACATGAAGAAAAAATATTTTTTTTTGCTATAAACCTCACGGAACCTGAGACCTTTCCAACGAATGCAAAACCGTGGAAATCGGCTCGTGCGTTCTGGAGTTATAACGTCAGGAGTCAGGAAGGAAAACCCGACTTATTTTTATATAGTAGATAGCTAATTGAAGATGGTACAAGTACAACTCATTAACATACTTGCAACTGTCCATATGAAAGCACGTGTTGAGGAAGGAGCAGTCTCCGAGCGACTCGTCCGTGTGTCCCTGTATTATCTTCTTGAAGTGAAGCTTCTTGCAGGAGTACGTGCTGTCCTCTCCGTCCTCAGACTTACTTGTAGTGAACGCTCGCATACATTCCGCGCGAGTACCGTGCGGACAGAATTCCATTACTTGAGCGCCTAGAAAAAATAATTAAGAGACTATTTTATCCGGCTCGACCCGAGTGATACTACGGTTTCACAGGATACCGCCGTAAAACAACGCCGCTTCCGTGTGAGTGAGTTTAACTGAGAATGCATTTTATATACGGCCTATCTTTTTCTATACGTTACCCCACACTAGGATTTTCTCCTGTGTCGTGGGTGCGTTTACAAACATACACGTTCACATACTCATGACATCCAGACCACGGAACGACAATCTGTGGATCTCGCAAAAAGAGTTGTTCCACGCGGTAATCGAACCCGCGACACGTTGCGCGGCAGCCACGTGCCCAGCCACCGCGCCAACCGTACAGTCAACTAGTATCTGACTATGCAAAGGAATCTTTTCCTAATTCATGGATCCGTAAATATCCGTAAACTAGCAAATCAATCGAAAGTAGTAAAACCTATAGAGAGCAGTAACAAGGCTCTATTTTAAAAATCACTGACCTCCTTGACTCTTGAACTTGTCAGCGAGAGACTTCTCCTTGGCTGTAGGTTTGCTGAGCAGGTCCATGATCTCCTCACCGACTCTCTTTACTGCCTTCTCTCTGCTTGAAGGCATTGCTAGTAGGGACTGTAAATTATATCGTTAAGGTTAAGTTCAGAAAGTCTGGATATACTGTTGGTCGAGCTGAAGGATAATTTTACGTATTTTTTTATATGAAATGTGTGTTTTAGTTAAGCTTATAAAAGCTTGTATTATAAATTACTAGCTGTACTGTAGCTACTCTGCCTGTGACTTCATACGCGCAAACCCGTTTTTCCCGTTCCCGTAGGATTCTCAAGATTTTTTTTAAGTCACAAGAACCTTCTCCAGATAATAAGAATTACAACAAAAAAGAATTAGTGAAATCGGTCCAGCCATTCACGCGTGATACCGTGACCAAGTGAAAAAGTTGTATTTGGAAAAACTAAAAGAAAAAGTCAAGTATGTACCTAAACGTTATTTATATTGTTGTATACAGATAACTCGGGTCAGATAAATCAAGTTAATCACGTAGTACTGTTTCTTTATATAAAATTACGTACCATAATATCTGTGTCATTCTTCCCTGTCTTCTTCTCGTCAGTAGCTGTTTTCGATACTTTAGGATTAGTTGCTTCTTCTGTTTTGTTGTCACCTAAAAACAACAAAAGAATATAATTTTGTATACTAAACTTCTTCGGGCCCAACCTGATTGTTAACAGTCACCAACAACACTTACGTCATCAGAAGTATCACACACAAGATACATAACAGACCATGTAGGAAACTATATAAAAATAAAACTTACTTACTCACGTAACTGTTTGATGAGGAACTCGACTATTTTCAAGCGACAGTCGACAGTCGCCGCGTCGAGATTCGCGGAATGCTGCTCATGAATATGAGCCTCTAGCATGGCTTGAAACTAGTCGAGTTCCTCGTCAAACAGATATGTGAGTAAGCCGAAAACATAATAATTATTTTAACCTTCAAGTCCTGACGTGGTGTACTCAGACCATAAATGATGACGTGACGTATGTCAAACACCTTAATGATAAATAATCGAAATGCATTACTTTTATTTACTGATTTGCACAATATTTACTTGTATTATAATCTGTCCATTATAATTCTATTATGTAAGTGCGAAAAAAACAACGATTTCGAATGAAATCAGCGGTTTTTGGTTCAAGTTCAATAAACTATATTTCGCATAACTTAAAACAAATTGTTATATTCTTAGCTACAATACAATTATTTGGACGTTTTTTTTTAATTCTAAGAGAGTGATGTCTAAGTTAATTCTAAGAGAGTGAAGTGAGTCTATGAGACATCTACGTCACATAAATAACACTAGATATACATGTAGTTAATGTTTTACAAACCTTTTCTCTTGTTGCCATTGCTCTGCTCCTCCATCAAAGCTGCCAGTACCGCCGCCAGTCGTACAGACTCTGCGCTCACAACCTCTATGCTTGCATCAGTTGTACTCTCTGTTCTTTCTTTTATACTGAAACATATGATAAGTAAAACACATCACCATAGTTTGTTTTCTGACAATTAAGGTGCTAGAGGAGAGATCATAGTTTTATTAAATATGCAACTGTGTTAATCCAGTGCTCCAGGCATAAGTGCAGCAGGAGGAGGTGGCGTTGAATGTAGTATTCTGTTGATGTGGTCTAAACTAAAATCAGTTGGGTAATAAACTTAAATGTAGTGTAATTATAAAAAATAATAGCTTACGTAATAAGTTTCTGTGTAGCAAACTTCTGTAGTAGACTGGCAACAATACCAGCATCGACATCACCCAGTCCAGGCAACAGCGCACTGGCAGTTGCGGGCAACTGTAGCTGCATGTCTGACAGCACTTGGAGGAGTTGCACTTCTAATGATGCTGACGGGACTATCACTTTTGGCTTGTCGGGAGTAACTGAAGAGATAACATAGCATATAATTTTCTTTTATTAGTAACCAATCGGCGCCCTGCATGGACAGTGACGTTACAAGTGCGTTACTGGCCTTTTGGGAATTGGGAATTTGAGGATTGTGGGGGAATTGGGCCTCCATTAACCTCACTCACACGACAAAACACAATGCAAGCATTGTTTCATGTTGGTACCAATAGTCAAAGACTTAATGGAATTCACAAGCAAATGGGAAAATATTTAGTATTGTAAATATTGACATAAGAGTTAAAAGTTCACCACAGATATTGTAATTAATTATCGTTTAAAAAAAACCCCTTCTAGCCTAACCTGTCTAAGTCGGGGTGCCCTAAAGTTCGCTTCTATGGCGCTTTCTACTACTATGTAACATATTTCGTACATCGCGTATTATTTATCGATGGACACGTTTGGAACCTTCAAAACTTTATATATCGTGAACCGAGAGGCTTCGTAAATATCCCAAATTTGTACAAAGAATTGTTAATATAAGCACAACTTATAAAAAAAAAATTACAATCCAACTCACTGACCCATAAATGAAGGTCTAGTCGATTTGTTCCTTGATCCTCATCATAAAAGCCGAGGTAGAAAGTATAATAAGGTGTTAACACTTTGAGAATGAAATTTATTGAAGTTTATAATAATGTTAATACCTTCATGCTTCCCCGCGGACGGACTGGCTGCCAACCTCTCCTTCCCGCTGCCAGGTGAACCTTCCGACCTTTCTCCACTACCCAAATTAGCACTCAAGATATTCTGCCGTTCCTTCTTACGTTTCTCTAACTTCTCGCGCAAACTGTTCCTTTTGCTTTTCACAGCTTGGATCTCTTCCCAAGCGTCCGACATATTCTTTATTTTGTTTTAAATAACATCAGGAACTAATACCGGTGCAAACAAATGCCAACGAGATTGAATACGCTGAACGTCACAACAATTATGATTTTAGAACTATATAGAGAAACGATTTAGATAAATATTACTTCATAAGCTTTACAGCAACTAATTCACGCACAAATAATACATTTTATAACACAAACACGACACTTTCATTACTTTCCAGTCGCATTCGCATAGCATATCGCGTTTTGTCAGATGTCACTTTTGACATTTGACTTTTTATCTGACATTTTGTGTGTTATGGTCTATGGTGGTGTTCTGTTTCTAATCTCTATGGTAACTTTTTTTTTGTTTTTTGGCATCAAGTTTTTTTCTATGGAATAGGCGGCAAACGAGCAGACGGATCTCCTGAATCAGGAGATCCGTCTGCTCGTTTGCGGGATCTCCTGAATCAGAAGATCCGTCTGCTCGTCAGGAGTCCTGATGGTAAGCAATAAGCGCCGCCAATGGACCCCCACAATACCAGAGGAGTCAGGTGCGTTACCGTTCAAGTGATTTGTGATCTTCAAGTGATTTGTAACTTTGAAACTTCTAGAAATTACTGAGGAGGCTCGAACGCCTATATTCAGCTGTAAACGTCTGTGGCCTTGTATCTGATGAGAGGAAGATTATAATCAATATTTAAATCATTTTGTATCGTTTGCATCACTTTATTCCACATACAGTGTGTGTATTTAATATTGAAAATCAATGCCCTCATTGATTTTCATTAATATAATTATCGACTCATTGATTTTGATTTTGATACTCTTAGCTTAAGCTGTAGCTGGCATGTATAATAACTAGAGTATTTATTTTTCTAAAGTTGATGGGAAATAATATCTTTGACATTTCATAGAAAATTAATTAATCACAATAAATAACACATAATTACCGATAAACTCTTTAAAAACTGTTCGGTAACTTCCAAGCAAAATGCCTTTTGCACCAGAGTTACGAACTCATTCTCAAAAAGTGTGCACTCTTTATAAAGTAGCTATGAGGAACCTTGAAGCGTACTACGCAGCTAGGTAAGATAAGATTATTATTTTAACACTATCTCGGTATTTCGAGCTGTGCTTAAGTATATATGCATTATGCATGTTATATTAAGCTGGAAATACACCATGCTTTTTGCTAGCTGCCACAACTTTAGTTACCTAGCAGGGGCAACTCTTCGTGTTAGGCGGGTGGCATCATTCATTAGGCTACTCAGCTTCAAACCCGTTATTATAATTATAGCACTAGACTTGAATTCTTAGTAAGATAGTAATGAATTGCTTTCGTTTATTTATGTTACGGCGGGATATATTATATTCTTAGAGATATAACTATATCAAGGCTTTATCTAACTGCAACATATTATGCATAAACAACAATTCAGCCACCAATACGACTCGTCGCAACGTATTAGAGAGCTAAGAAGGGCTGGTTGGTGGTGAGTCTATAACATATACATACATTAACTTGCACTTATAAATAACCGGAAAGTGTGAAATAATTAACTTCAGCTGCTGTATAGTACTCTACCTTCGATCGGTATATAAATTATTATTTTTGCAGAAACGTGGTTCGTTATCATCAAGTCATGCTGAGAGCAGAATTCGACAAAAATAAATGTGTTACTGATCCGAAAGAACAACGTCGTTTACTATGGGTAGGAGAAAATGACGTTTTTATGCAACAATATCCACTTCCACCTGCGAAATGTAAATATAAACGGTATAATATATACATTATCATATTATCTCTCTCTTCCTCGTTGACCTCGTTGAC